TGAGCTTACAGACTGGCTAAAAACAGACACTTTGATCATTGAATGATGATTTATTTCAACTTTCGTGTCACTTTTACACACACCCTCCGCAGACCGTCATTTTTTAAATCTTCTCCCCTGTGAGCTCTGCGATTTGCTGGCCCAGGGCACCGTCTGCAGGCGATCTCTGGGGAAACGCTGAACTGCTGGTTGCCGGGATGAAGAGGGCTGGTCTCTGACGGGCGGGGCTGGTGGTGGAGCTGAGCGAGAAGACGCGGCCGTGGAACGTCGTTGCTTCTGCCTCTGCTCACTATGGTCTCTCCAGCGGGCCGGGGGGCAGGATGATGAGGTGGCGCACAGTCTCCGACACCTCCTCCGACTGCTTGGAGTTCGCCAATATGGCCAACACGCCAACAAGAAGTAGATCGCATCATCCAGCGAACAGTCTCCCGCCACGGACAGGCAGTCCTCGACGTTAGCCTTAAACAAGACTGCTCTCCTCTGCCTTTCCTCCGGTGGAAGATGGTCACAGAGGCAGCAGGAGGAAGTGCGGGCGACATGGCGGGGACCCAGGCATCCCTCGCAGGTGTTGTGCCGGTCAAAGCTGAGCAAGTAACCGGTCTTGCAAGATGGACACAAGCGGATGGTGTTGGAGCTGGACATCTTGTTGAAGGTCAGTGTTGTTAGCTTGCTGAAGACAAATGGGAGCCGGTTACTTAACATAACTTATACGGACCGGGTGGGGCCCACACAGCAGGTGGGCGTGGACTAAATTTTTCAGTGTGATGCTTCGCATATTGGGATAAACCCATCAGCGACAGCCTTAAAGGGCGAAGCCTATACGAAATAGAACAAAATGTTTTCAGTTTACAGCTGAACGAAAGGAGCCGGATTCTCTGGTCCAACCCTTGTAGAGAGGAGAACACATCTGAGCTCAAAATGAAACAGGAAGTGAAGATCTTTTAACTTCTTATATGAAGCATACAAGTCCACACATGAACATCAGAGCATTCTGCTGCTCATGGCTCAGGAATTTGTACAATTCGATTTATAGATTTTGCCTCCCGTTGCGTTTGTTGTCATGTTTGTTTCCACTGAGGGGCCTTTCAGCTCATGTTGACCAGAGACCGTTTCACTGTGAGTAATGAGCATCTGACCTACTTCAGACAGTCTCAACAAGGTTTTGGCTTTAGTTCTGGGTTTGATGCTCACATTTTGCTCCATCTCTCAGGAAGACAATCGGACCTTTTATTAGCTGGTGGCTACACGTAATCATTAGCACTGAAGCTGCTTCTACAAGTAGCACAAACACAATTTATATTTTCTCAAGCGAGAATGCTCTTCGATGTAAAGGCCCTTTTCACATGACGTCAGACAACTTCCTTTTTGACTCAATGCTGTGGATCATTACTTTTGGGTCTATTCTCCCTCGGGAAACCTGTCTGGAAACTTAATGGAATTTAATTCCTTCAACCTTTATTTACAGAGGTTATCTTACAAGATATAGCGCAAGGTAAGGTTAATAAAAACTGTATTTATGTGTTTGTTATCTGTGGTAACGTTATCCATCATTGCAGCAACTTTAGCCGCAGTAGCTCAAATATACAACACAAGCAGTCAGTGCTCTAACGTTTAAAAGGTTTACTAGCTATATTAACGTTAATAAAAACAGTATTTATGTGTTAGTTAGCTGTGGTAACGTTATCCATCATTATCAATTTACCATTCTGTAACTGTAAGGAAACAGCCTCCAATTGTAAAGTAAGCTAGCTAGCAGCTAACGGTTAACAGGTAGCTAAAATATGCACTGCTGCTGCCTGTCAGTGCTGTAACATTAAAATGTTTACTTTATCTATTAATGTAAAATCTCTGACATCTTCCAACACTGTTGTTTAGAATAGCATTTTAAGTATTGAATTAAAAACTATATGTCAAACCATGTTCTGATGTGATTAATAATTTATCTTTTTACTTTCTTCTTGTGTCCATCTTTCTCAGCAGCAGCTCATCTAACCAGCATGACACAGTCATCAAGATGTTGTTATTGCAGTGTGCCATGTTGTTCCAATAATAAACAAAAAACACTGTATTTGAGTTTCCACAATTTTCCCGTGGACAAAGAAAAATGTTCCCGTTGGGTGAGAGCGATCAGGAGAGATGAAGGGCCAACTTTTAAAATCCTTCGTGGGAACACCCATGCAGTCTGCACTTTGCCCCAGAAGATCTAAATTCATCTGCACTTTGCCCCAGAAGATCTAAATTCATCAGCCAGTGGAGAAGATCAGACGATGAGCAGTGCCATCTAGATTTCACTGGAATCATTGGGGTAGATGGAGGGAGGACAGTGCTGAACATTTTTAAAAATAAACAAAAATGTGTCATGACCATGAAGTGTCTGATTTCCCACCTCTAGGGAGACGCTCACAAGCTCGTGAGTCAGTTTACCTGTGAGCAAAAAAGTGTCTCGTGCTGCTGGCCAGGATGACTCCCAGGAGGTGCCTGACCCCGGGAACTGTACAGAGGAGACATTAGCTGCAGGTGCAGTGGTAAAAGATCACAACTCTGCCTGACATCCTTCTCCAGGTTAGTATTGCAGAAAATGTCTTGTAGAAAAAAATATATGGCAGTGAATAGCACTGTAACCATCTTGTGGTTGTATTCAGAACATTTTGGACTTGCTAATGGTTGAGAGACTGTCAGTAAATACATGAAATGATTTGAATGAGGAGGAGCAGCTTTATACTTTATGGAAAATATTGCATATTTTTTGTTTTCCCCTTTGAAAAAAATACATATATCTTCACCTCAGAACTGTCAAGGCAGTAACGAGTAAGTAATAGGAGAAATGTAATACAAAAAATATTTGATAATTGAACAGGAAATTAATGGGTGGATAAGTGATGTCTATTAATGTTTATATATTTTTTTCTCTTAGGTCAACTGGATGATGTTGCACGGAGAATTCAAGAGTTGCAGAGACAAGTTTTGCCCCTAGAAATGGAAATCCAGCAGCTGACAATTAAGAAGTGCCCTCCTGTGTGT